GGGCACTTTCTGGGGGTGATGGATGAGGGCAGAGTGCTGTGGGCTCAGGGTTCAGACAGATGTTCCTGTTTCACCATTTGCTCTGTGACTCAGGCCAGGGGTCATGTCTTAACTGTAATCTTGGGGCTAAAGTAGCACCTACCTGCTGCTGGCTGGTTGTGAAGGTGGAAGGAGGCCTGCAGTCACACTGGTGCTGATGCTTCTGAGGTGGGGGAGACTCCTCTGGGTCCTGGGACCTAATGCTGAAGTCCTAGTGGGCCCCGGTTGGGCCTCCAGAGAGAAAGAGGGTGTGGATGGGGGCAGCCCAGTGTGGGGGCAGGGAGCACAAGGCCAGCCGCCCTTCCCCACTCACCCCTCGAGGGCTGAGCACTGCTGGGGATGTGGTGGAGGTGGGAGAAGGGACTGCAGGACTCCAGGGCCCAGTGGGAAGGTGAGGGTGAACTGCCTGGCAGGCTGGGCCCCTGTCTCCTGGCTGGATTCTGGCTTCACTGTGTAGGCAGAGAGGAGCCACTGGGGCTCTAGCTGGCCTGGTCGGAGGGTGGACAGAGGAACATGTAGGAGAGGCTGGGGAGCAGGGGAGAGCCAAGCATGGTGCTGTGGGGCAGACGGACCTGTCCAGGGTTCCCGGCTGTGGCAGGAGGTGGGGTGCTGCAAGGTGGGCAGGGCTTCCTTCTTCCTCTTTGCAGAGAAGCAGAACCTTCTTGTGAAGGAGCTTCAGGGCCTGTCAGCCGCCCAGCGTGACCACATGCTCCGGGGAATGCCCTTGAGCCTGGCAGAGAAGCGCAGCCTGAGGTGAGTGTCCACTGGCTCATGGGGGCTGAGACCAAATTCCTCGGCTGGGCCAGGTAGTCAGGGAGGAGGGCCCTGAGCCTGTGGGTGGGTGGCCCCAGGAGGGAGTTGGGCACCTCCTCAGTCCAGGCACTGAGGGTTCCTTCTGTCCCCAGGGAGAAGAGCCAGACCTCCCATAGGAAGTGGAAGGGCCAGTCCAGCCGTGTTGGGGTCTTCTCCTGCTGTAGCCGGCTTGGATATGCCTGCATCCTGGTAGGGCCTCATACTGGGCCGCCAAGCCTCTCCTCTGGCACAGAGGGCTAGGGCAGCTGGTAGGGGGTGGCCACCCTTTCTCCTGCTGCCCCCTGCCTTCCTCTGGGCCTCTGCTATCTGTCTGCAGCCTGAGCCTGGGGCAGGAGGGCTCCCCTGTTAGCTTTGCCCTCAGACCTTCCTGGTGCTCTCCCCACAGACCTCACGCAGCCTGGGGCTCACGCTGCTGTCGGGCCTGCAGGCCCTGACCCCTTGGCACTACACCCTGAAGCGCATTGGGGGCCAGTTTGGATCCAGCGTGCTCTCCTACTTCCTCTTCCTCAAGACCCTGGTGGCCTTCAATGGCCTCCTGCTGCTGCCCCTGCTGGCCTTTGTGGTGGGCGTGCAGGCTGCCTTCCCACCGGACCCCGGTCCTGGTTCCGGCCCTGCCTGCACAGGCCTGGAGCTTCTCACAGGCGCGGTGAGGGGGCCCGCATGGGATGGGGCATCTGTACCAGGCATGGGTGCCTGTCTTCAGTTGCCACCTTGGCACCATCCCCCCATCTTGTCCCAGCTTCCCCAGGGACCCTGTCCTCATCTCTACCCCATGCTGTGACTCTAGGTGGCCATAGCCTGCTTCCCTCCTCCTCTCTTAGCTCCTTCTTGGTGTCCACTATGTCCTGGTCCCTGTGGGGTTGGGGGTCCCAGGACGGCTGTTTTGGCCCATTAGTTTTCCTTGCAGCCCCTACCTGGGCCGTTCTCCAGGCTGGCCTTCTTCTGCCTCTCAAGGCCCGAGGGTGGGTGAGGGTTGGCGAGTCCCTAACTTGGCTGGGTGTTCCTTGCAGGGCTGCTTCACCAACACCGTCATGTACTATGGCTACTACAGTAATGCCACGGTGGGCTGGCCATGCGACCACCCCCTGGAAGGTGGCCCGTGCAGACCCAGGGCAGGTGGCCTGTCCTACCACATGCCCCTGGCCTACCTCTTCACTCTGGGGGTGGCCTTCTTCGTCACCTGCATCACCCTGGTGTACAGGTAACGGTCCTCTAACTTACGAAGCTGGCTCTGGGCACCACTGATGCATTCTTCCATCCTTTGACCCATCCACTGATCCTTCTTTCCTTCATTTACTTTTTGCCTTCCTTCTATCCGTCTATGCAGCCACCTGCCCACCCCCCTACTCATCTACCTGTCTCTCCTCTACCCATCCGTCTACTCAGCCACTCATGCATCCACTCACCCATTCATCCATCGATCCATCTGTTTGTCATCCACTCCTCCATCTGTGCATCTATCCATTCACCCATCCATCTACCTGTCTATCCACCCATCCATCCATTCACTCACTCATCCACCCACTCATCCATTCATTCATCCATCTACCTATTTACCTATTTATCCATCCATCCATCCATCCATCCATCCATCCAAGCATCTATCCACTCACCCACCCATCCATTTGCTCATCCATCTGTCCACCCATCCATGTACTTGTGTATCTACCTATCCATCTACCCACATCCATCTGTCCATTCATCCACCCACTCACACATCCACTCCACACACATTCCCTGTGCTTAACTCAGGGCAGGAAGGCAAACCAAGCATGGCATCCTGCCCTAGAGGGGCTTGTGTCTCTGGAAGACATAAGCCCAGTGAATGGGCTGGGACCATTCAGGAACCTTGGAGGTGTTTACCCAAGTGTTAGGGGAACACTAGGGAAAGGAGTCAGGCTGGCTTTCCAGGGGAGGTGGCACTTGCCCTGAGATGGGAAGGCTAAGTAAGAATGGGAGGGAAAGAAGCAGGGGAGGGCATTCTGGTCATTCTGAAGTGAGCCCTGAGCTTTCTGTACCTTGTCTTGGGGCAGCAGCCCTCCTCCCGCTCCTAGGCATGTATGGCTGGTGGGTACCCTACTGGACAGTGCTGGGGTAGAGTGGCTGGTGGCATATACCAGGAGGCTAGACCAGCGGTGGGGCACAGTCCTGCTCTCAGAGGGCTCCTGAGGGATGGAGGGTTTTAGCTGTAGGGTATCCTGTCTGCCTCTCCCCCCACCCCGGCCTCCGTACCCCTCATCCACCTTACCTGTCTCTGCTCCCCAGCATGGCCCACGCATTTGGGGAGAGCTACCGGGTGGGCAGCACCTCTGGCGTCCATGCCCTCACTGTTTTCTGCTCCTGGGACTACAAGGTGACTCAGAAACGGGCTGTGCGCCTCCAACACGGGAACATCCGTACCCGGCTGAAGGTGAGCACCTGGGGAACCTGGGCTGTGCCATCTGGGACCCCAGATTGGGAGCCCCCAGGCCACATGGCCAGACAGTGGTCTGGAGGGAGGGCTGTCCGTGCGGTAGCTGACCTCAGGCAATGGGGTGGGGGTGGGGTTCCCGCTAACAGGGTCAGGTGGGGCCAGGTCTTCCCTCCTGTATATGCCCCTCAGTTTGGGGCTGCCTCTGTCTGCTAGCGGGTGTCAGCGCCACAGCCCAGGGGACACCTAGGGCCAGCAGAAAGGGAGACTGCACACAGAAGGTTTCAGTACCTGTGTGAACAGGACCTGGGAGCCCATGTGTCCTGCCGGAGCCCCTCAAGCTCCTGCTGGCATTAGCTCAGTTAATGGCGACAGTAGCCCACTAGTGAAGGACTGTTGTGTTCCCTGCGCCACAGGGAGGAAACCAAGGCATGGAAGTCACACATAGGGTCAGGTGGCAGCAGAGCTAGGCCGCAGGGAAGCTTCTCTGCCTTTCTGAAGTTTCCTGCTGTGAGGATCTCAGATCTATGGCCCGGGTCACAGGCTTTTTCACTGTCCCCAGGGAGTTCTGTGGGGACAGGTGCCCTCCATGCCTCAGGGTCACTATAGGCACCCCACACGTCCACTGGGAACAGGGCAAGGATATTCGGCAGGGTAGCTCTGGAGGCTTCCAGGGGCTGGGGTGGCTGGGGTGGAGCTGTGGGATAAGCCTTGGGGTGAGCTGAGCCCAGGTAGGGGCCCTGCAGGCAGTGCCATGTCTTCCTCTGCCCGGAGGGGCCTGGAGCAGGAAGGGCTATTGACCCTTGACCCTGGGTCCCTTCAGTCCTGCTGGTGTGAGTCTGGGCATGGTGGCTCCGGCCTGTAATCCTAGCACTCTGGGAGGCTGAGGTAGTTGGATTGCTTTAGCTCAGGAGTTCCAGATCAGCCTGAGCAAGAGCGAGACCCTGTCTCTAAAACTAACTGGGTGTTGTGGTGGGCACCTAAGTCCCAGGTACCTGGGAGGCTGAGGCAAGAGGAAGTTTTGAGCCAAAGAGTTCACGGTTGCTGTAGCCTATGATGCCACAGCACTCTACCCAGGGTGACAACGTGAGACTCTGTCTAAAAAAAAAAAAAAAAA